TGAAAGCATAAAGTGCTCGAAATTAGCTGGCTTGTCAAAGGTTGGATCCATTTACCTCCTCCTCCTTTCCCTTCCCTCGAGAGCCATTTAGGAGGAAAAATGGACGGAGCAGGGCTGTGTTGGCTGGCCTTCAATCAAATACTGTTGAAACAGAAATGATGGCGAGGGTGGCGGCCTGGGCATGGAGAGTGGGGTTGAACTGGTGGACTTCCCTTGGCTGATGGTGACGGTGGGGTGTATCGAGATTCGCTAAAGGAGAGGGGTCGTAAATTTTCGGGACTGGAACAGCGGACGGTTGACCCTACTGGAAATTCGAAGGCGCTGACGTGCTTATTGGCCACCTCAGTCAACTCATTGTACGAGGCGAATGGAATTCAAATGCATTAACGATTATGGAATAGAAGTCAGAATGCGTCGTGCTATCCAAAACGAGGTTGATCTATTCCATTATGTTCAACCCTTCTTGGCCAACTTCGAAGAATATTTTCAATGAATAAAGCGAGTAGAACACCCTCGAAAGAAAGCCAGAGAGTATTCACGAAACTAAGAAGAACGAGGTTGCTAAGATGGCTATTACAAGAGAGAAAACTGGAGCGAAACCAGTTCCGCAGTCGAACACGAAATTGAAATCGCCTCGTCTTATTCAAGCAACCTATTGATTGTGATTTTTCTGGAAAAATTGCAACCGATTATTATCTGTAACTTAACCAAATTATGAGCATCCAACTCCATCAACAGTGTTCGTTTTAACGGGATTATGTGAAACAGCCCCCCCCCCTCCCCGCTCTGAGATGCGCCCTAGGGAAATGATTTTGCTTTATAATTTCTGTTAAATGGAATTCCACGTGAGTAGTCATACCAGACAAGTGGAATACCACTTGGCCTACTATGATGGAAAGTTTGCTTGGCCTTGAACCACTTCATGGACCGTAAGAGTGACAGCGCCGCCTCTTGCCACTGCATCAGCCTCCTCTTTTCAATATCTTATTATACCTGATTCGGCTGATTTACTAACCCCAGACGTTCCTCTTGACTCACCATCTTGGAATACAGAGGACTTTTGAATCAAAACGCGGATAGATTTCCTTCTAAGAAAA